GCGTGGAGCTCCCCCGCCCATCATCCAAGCCGCGAACCCACGACACCCCACGCCCTCCATCAGGCTCTTCATGTTCCAGCGTGTCGGGCGGCGGGCGGCGGAAACCCTGGGCGAAGGAGCCTTCCCGTGCGTCGGCCGCCGGAGCCACCCCCCGCCCCACCCAACCACAGCACCAGCACGCTTCCCACGTCGCTGAAGCCCACCGCCACCCCGACAAGTAAAGTGCGGTGCTGGTGGGCGGTGTAGACAGCCCACACGTCCGAGGGCGGCGAAGACGCGGCGGGCGGGCGGGAGGCCGTGTGCTCCTCCGGGAGGGTCGGTGGGCGGCGCTCCCAGTCGCCAAAGACCGCAGCCGCAGGGACTGAGGGCGGAAGTAGGGCGGAAGAGGGGGGGGAGAAGGAAGAAGGGGAAGGAGAAGGGAAGGGGAGGAAGAAGGAGGAGAGGGGAAAGGGAGGGAGAGGGAAGGGAGGAGGGAAGAGGGAAGGGAGAAGGGAGAGGAGGGAGGGAGGGAGGGAGGGAGGGAGGAGGGAGGGAGGGAGGGAGGGAGGGAGAGAGAGAGAGGAGAAAGAGAGAGAGGAGAGAGAGAGAGTGAGAGAGAAGAGAGAGAGAAGGAGAGAGAAGAGAGAGAGAGAGAGAGAGAGAGAGAGAGAGAGAGAGAAGAGAAAGAGAGAGAGAGAGAGAGAGAAGATGAGAGAGAAGATAGGAGAAGAAATAGGAGAGAAGAGAGAAAGAGAAAAAAGAGAATAGACAATTAGAAGAAGACAAGGAAGAAGGGGTAGGAACGGACCACGAAAGAGGAGGAAGGGAGAAGGAAAAGAAAAAAAAAAAAAAGAAGAAAAAACAAATATTAGTCACACCCTCACATAACTCCACCAGATCAACAAGGCAATCACAACCATTCCACACGCAACCATAACCCAAACCATTAATTTCAAATTCACCCGCCACACCCGGAGGGAGGGGGGAGGGGGGGAGGGGGTAAAAAAACAATCAATAAATCAGAGGGAAAACTACCATTAGAGTTTAATTATGTGATACGGAGTGCCATAAAACCGCTGGCGATTTTTTCAATTGGGGGGATTCCCACGTGCACAAATACGGTTTGAATTATGGGATTTTCGGAGTTAAAGTAATAAGGGATTGTTATAGATTGGGGTTTAGTTCCAATGAATGCAGTTTATCGAGTTGTGAGTTCGTTTTGTTTCGTCTTGTTCTTTAAACTGCTCTGCGCAGGTGTGAGACAAGAAGAAAGAAAGAAGAATAAGACGTAAATAGAGAGTGGAAGAGAGAGGAGAGAGAGAGAGAGAGGAGAAGGAGGGAAGATGATGAGAAAGAGAGAGCAGAGAAGAAGAGAGAGAGAGACGAGATGAAGAAGAGAGAGATGATTACGAGAGAGTGAGAGAGAGAGAGAGAGAGATGAGAGAGAGAGAGGAAGGAGAGAATGAAAGAGAAAGAGAAAGAGAGAGAGATAGAGAGAGAGAGAGAGAGAGAGAGAGAGAGAGAGAGAGAGAGAGAGAGAGAGAGAGAGAGAGAGAGAAGAAGAGGAAAGAGAGAGAGAAAGAGAGAGAGAGAGAGGAGAGAGAGAGAGAGAGAGAGAGTAGATCCAGAGCCAGCCAGACAAACACAGACAGACAGGCAGAAAACACGAAAAAAGAGAAATTGCCTCTGTTTCACGCACGCAAAATGCCACTCACAAGAAGATTAAAGAAAACCGTTGTGTTAACGGCTACGGGTTTCAAACTTTTAAAAATTTCAGTTTAAGTCTCCCCCTCTTCATATATATTCTCCTAATTATATCTAATGTTCGTTGTAAAAATTTAATGGTTATAGTATTTTTTTTTCTTCAGATTCCATTCTTGTTTGTTATTTTAGTGACATCCATCATTGTTATAATTGATATCATTACCATATTACCCATTCATTAACTAGTTTATCATTATTAATCTTTATTCACATCTTTATCATTTCCATCATCATTATCATCACCACCATATTTATCATCATTATCATCATCACTATCACAATCTTCATAATCCTCATAATCATTAGTAATATCGCCGTAATATTAAAATCATTAGCATCGCCATTATCCCAACCATCATCACACTTACTCGAATCAAAGTAGATCTCCTGAATGGACACTTCCATCGCCCGAACCTCAAGGGTGACCTGTAGAGAAGCTCCCGGTCGCTTGCGGAGGTCAAAGGTCAAGTTCTGAGGCCCAGTCGGGATCAGGTCGGACTCGCTCCAAGCCGAAGTCACAGCCACGTCATCGAAAAAGGAGGAGTTGGCGCCAAATTTAACGGTTGCTGTGATGGCGGGCTGTAAGGGAAAAAAATATATATTTCTTAAGCGAAAGATTCTTTGCATTCTGGGAAGGGCTTACGAGCACTAAAGCGAGTATCGAAAATAGCTCAGGAAATCTAAAAACAAATTGCACAACATAGGAAAAAAAAAAAAAAAATAAAAATAAAACGTTTATTAACAAACCGAACTAGCACACATTTCTATGACTAATATTTACACCGTATCCCTTTTACTTTTTTTAATCTAATATTTACTAATATTCACACTGTTTTTACCCCTTTTACTTTTTATATCTCAATTCATCATTTTATTTTAAATTTTACCAAATCGAATTTAATAATCCTAGAATCCCTTTTGTCAATTTATATATTTATTCACTTATATATTTGGAGAGAACCCAACCTTCTGGTCATTTTTCATATTTCTAAATTTCCCTCTACCTTTTTTTATTTTTTTAATTCTTTTCGACTATATTTCAATTTATTTCTGGGAAGATCGGTGTCGACAGTTAATTCATCTTTTTAAATTTCCTTCTGCCAATCAAAAACAGTCCTTTTCGTCTATATATCAATCGTCTATTCAATAAGTCTATATGGGGTCTCTAATACTATTTATATGGTCTAATATTATATCAATCTATTCCTGGGTCTATTTCCTATCTATCAATCTATTTCTAGGTCTATATACAGGTCACAATCTATTTATAGGGTCTATATATATCATCTATTCCTGGGGTCTAATATCAATCTATTTTATAGGGTCTAATATAATTATCAATTCTATTCCTGGGGTCCTACATACCATCTCATCAATCTATTTCTGTTTTTTTTTCTTTTATCAGTCTATTCCTGGGAGTCTACACACCAACCTATTTCTGGGGACACTGGCTTCTTGGCTTACCTCCGAGTCGCGGTGGCTTGTCGTCAGGTACACGAACATGCTCTTGAACCTTCTCATGACGTCAAAGTTGAACACGAGAGACAGGGGCGTGTCCGGGGCGGGTTCGAGTCCTGCAGGAGAGGAGAGAGAGAGAAGAAAAAGGATTAATGGGAGAAGAAAGAGTAAAGAAAGGAAGGGAGAAGAAAAGAGTAAGAAAGGAAAGGGAGGAATATGAGGCGGTTCGAGTCCTGAACGAAGAGAGAGAGAAAGGGAAAATTGAATTAATGGGAAGAAAGGATTAAGAGTAAAGAAAGGAAGGGAGAAGAAAGAGTAAAGAAAGGAAAGGAGAATATGAGGCGGGTTCGAGTCCTGCGGGAGAAGAGAGAGAGAGAGAGAGAAGAAAAAAGGTTAATGGGAGAAAGAGAGCAAAGGAAGCGGGGAGATACGAGGAAAATTAGTCCTGCAGGAGGAGGAGAGAGAAGAGAGGAAAAAAGGATGTAATGGGAGAAGAGAGAGCAAAGAAGGAGGAAATACGAGGAAAAAGGATTAATGGGAGAAGAAAGAGCAAAGAAAGGGAAGGAAAATACGAGTAAAAAGGGGTAATGAGAGAAGAAAGAGGCAAAGAAGAGAAGAGAGAAACGAGGAAAAATTAGTTCTGAAGGGAGAAGAGAGAAGAGAGAGAGAGAGGGGGGGGGAAATGGATTGATTTACGAAAGAGCGAAGAAGGAGAAGGAAGAGAGAGAAAGGAAATGAAGGAAAAATAAAATGAGAGAAGACTAAAGGGAGGAGAAGAGAATACGGGAAGAAAGAGGAGAGGGAGGAAATGAAAATAAAGAGAGGAAGAGTCAAATTTAAGGCAAAAGGACAGACAGATATCCTAAAAAGTAAAAAAAAAACTTGACACGAGAGACAACGGCTGAAGGAGTAAAGAGAGAGAAGAAAAAGGATTAATGAAAGAAGAAAGAACAAATGAAGGAAAGGGAGATAGGAGTTAAAAGAGGAAAGGAAGGAAAGGGAAATAAGGGAAGAAAGATTAAAGAAAGGGGCAAAAGGATAGATAAATATACTAAGAAGAAAAAAAGGTCGAAATTGAACACGAAGGAGAAGAGAGAGAGGGAAAAATGATTAATTTATGAAAGAGTGAAGGAGGAAAAGGAAGAGAGAGATAAGATTAACAAAGGAAAGAAATGAAGGAAAAAAAATTAAGAAGACATAAAGGGAGAAGAGAATAAGGGAAGAAAGAGGAGAGAGAGGAAATGAAAATAGAGAGAGGAAGAGGAGAAAGAAGAGCAGAGAGACAGACAGATATCCAAAAAATAAAAAATAAAATAAAAAGTCGAAATTGAAAACGAAGGAAGAAGAGGAGAGGAGAGATGAAAAAGAATCAATTAAAGAAGAAACAGCGAAGGAAGGAAAGGGAAATAGGAAGAGAAAAGAGTAAATAAAAAAAATATATAAGGAGAGAGAGAGTAAAGGGAAGGAACAAAAGGAAAGACAATTTTCGAAGAAGTAGGAAGAAAAAAAAAACAAAAAAAAAAACGTTAGTTGGTCTGTGTCTCTTTCTCTTCCAAGATTTCATTTTGTAATATACGGATGGATGAATACTTTAATCTCCCCTTCCCTTCTTCCCTTTCTATCTCTTTCTCTCCTTCTTCTTCCTCCTTTTCTTCGCCCTCAATCTGCCCTTCCCTTCTTCCCTTTCTCTCCTTTTCCTTCTTCTTCTTCCTTCTTGCTTCTTCTGTCTTTAATCTCCCCTTCCCTTCTTCCCTTTCTCTCTCTTTCTCTCCCTTCCTCTCCTGTTCCTTCTTCTTCTT